ATCGGTCCGTATATTTTCATTAAAAATAATAATTCATTCCTAATTTTTGTCATTTAATCTTTATTTTTTACAAAAAATAATAAATATACGGACCGAAATCGGTCCGAATATAAAAATGAGATTTTCGATTTTCTAATGAATATATACAGACCGAAACCGGTCCGTATAGATTTCTCTAAATAATATTTAATTCATATTTTTTGTTATTTAATATTTATTTTTTTCCGAAATAATATTCGGACCGTTTTCGGTGTGAATATTATTGGCGCTTTGATACTGTGGATTCCCGCTAGAAATATACGGACCGATACCGGTCCGAATATGTTCAGTAGTATACTTTGGACCACCTAAATATATTTGGACCGATATTGGTTCGGATATTTATTTATTTGGACCGACACTATTCGGTCCGTATATGTTCGGTCCGTATACGTCATTTTTCTAGTAGTGGGTTTTGCTTTTGCCGGCCACCTAAACATGAAACAAACTAGGCATTTTCTGCTTGGATGGAGCATTGTGGTGCCGGGAGACACCATATCACCAAGTCTCCTAATCTAGTTCTATGGGTGACTTTGGTTCTAGTGTTGTTGGTCTTCTAAGGAAATGTATGTTTTTGCACTGGTTTTGCCTTTGCTGGCCACCTGAACATGAAACAAACTAGGCATTTTCTACTTGGATGGAGCATTGTGGTTCCGGGAGACACCATATCGCCAAGTCCCCTGATCTCCTGTGCTAGGTTTGGATGGCAAAATAGGTGTGATTACCAGTAGCGACCATAAGCTCCAATTTAGTCTTTCTATGTTATCACATAGCTCTATTGATGCCCCTATAACATATAATAGTATTTAGAGGTTCCCAGTTCTTAATTGTTCTATTTGTATGGAGCATCAAGCTCTCTATATTAGTGTTATAGGTCTTACCTAGCTTATTTATCTCTCTTGCATAGCCTATATGGCATGGTATACTCTTCACTGTAATTGCTTTTCAATTATTAATCCAATTATACCTTTTATCAAAAAAAAAAAAAGTAAATTATAATACCTTTAATTGGAATAAATAGACATATAATCATATACCTAAAACAAAAGAAGAATGAATTAGTATACTTTTTAAGTGAATATTAGTATAAATTAAAAAATTTGAGGAGAAGAAGAAGAGGAAATGGAATGAAAATAAGTGAAAATTAGAAAACAATTAATAATATCTTCAATTGGAATGAATGAACATATAACTATATACATACCTACAAAAAAAAGAAGAAGAATGAATTAGTACACTTTTTAAGTGAAAATTAGCAAAAATTAACAAATTTGAGGAGAGGAGGATGAGGAAATGGAATGAACATGAGAAGGAATCTAGAAGAAATGGAAGAGGAAATAGGGAGAGAACATGAACAAGAAAGTAGGATAAAATTAGAAGAAGGAAATGGAGAGAAAATGGAAGTAGAATAGGTAGTAAAGGTGAAAATGAAGCAAGAGGGAGAGAGGAAGTAGATTTATATAGACATTGAATTATATTCTAGCGCATTACTCTTGAAAATAATCAAAGCTTTGAATATTACAAGAGAAAATGTGGCATTTTTGAAATTTTTAGCAGCATGATGGTACAAAATACTTATTTTCCAGTACATTACATTGGAATGTGATAAGAATTTTGAAGATAACAAAAGAGAAGACAGCATTTAAAAAATTTCTAGTGGGGAATGGCACAAAATACTTATTTTTCAAGAATGGCAAATAACGATTGGAAAATAATTTTCAGCAGTAGAATGGCGCATAATGCGTGGGAAAATAATCTGAATTTAGAAGCTTGCATTAGAATAAGGCGGCATTTAAAAAATTTTCAAGGAAATGGTGAATAATGCTTGTTTTCTAGTGCATCACATTGGAAAATACTTCAAATTCTAAAAATTTAAATGAGAAATCAACACCTTTATTTTTTGGGGAATGGCACAAAATAATATGATTGTTCTTAGAAGGAAGGGCATTATTTTGTAAAATTTTGGTAAAATGACAATATACTTATATTGCAGTCATAGATCACAAAATGATAGCTTTTTTTAATTAAAATATTTTGGAACACTAAGCAAGGCAAAATGCACCAATTATTTAAACTTGGACAAGAGTTTTAAAGAATAGATTAGAAATTAACTTCTATTTTTCACCAATTAATGCAAATCCAAGTAATCATGAAAATAAGAAATGACAAAGGTGAAAAAATAAAAATGGTGAACATGCAACAATCCATAAATTTTGAATTTTAATGGTAGGCAAATTCACATACAAATGACACATTGTAGTCTTTCAAAAAAAAAAAAAAAAAGGCAATGAAGATACTTAATTTATCATTTATCTAGTTCAATTTCATTACATCTCCTCTATGAAAAGTGAAGATACAAGAAAAAAAAAAACACATGGTACACACACAACACAAACACAAACACAAACAAAAGCAAACATAAGATAAGGGGGAACCTTGTCTTGCTTTTACATTTCTTGATTTTGTACTGCTTTTTTCGTACTATGAATAAACCTCTAAAATTATTTCTTTCTTTATTCTTCCTTATTAACTAGTGGACCATGTGGTACCAATTCAATAGCTTTGGAGAATACTTTTTCATCTCAAGTCAATACCGAAACACTATCCACCAAAATAGAAGTTATAGGCTAGCTCTAGTGAAAAAACTCATGTAAATGAATCTAAAAGTTACAAATAAAACTAACAAAATCAACACATCCAATTTGTCTGGCTAAAAAACACACAACCCATCTTAAGATCAAACCTAGCAAACAAATCCCATCTATTTGAAGAAAAATTGACATAGATGGAGCCGAAAGTTAAAACAAAATTCACAAAACTAACAAAACCAACACCAATCCATATGGCCAAAAAAAAAAAAAAACAAAACCCATCTTAAGATCAAACCCAGCAAACAAAAAAGACAAAAAGCACTAGAGGATTAAACAAGATTATTTTAAAATTAAAGAAAGGAGCAACCTTTGATCTTATTTGTGTTAGGAATAGTTTGACCGGTGGGCAGGCAATAAACAATGGCAATTGGTGCTACTAAGCAAAAAAAAGTCAGCAAATTTAAAAAAAAAAAAAACACAAATAGGCTGGAATCTTGCCAAACTTACCATTTCTAGTGACCAAACGACAAGAATTAACCCAAAAACAAAGTGTGGTGGCTTGGGGCACAGCGAAGGTGGCCGAAATTGTAAGAGGTCGGGTGGGGCAAAATGGAGATCAGGAAGGAAAGGGGTTTCATTGGGCTTGTGAGGCTTGACCTATTTTCCAGTGCAAATCATTGGAAAATATAGGACGACAATTACCATCGTCAAATCGTGACCATCAAATTCTTATTTTCCAGTATGTTGTGAAGGAAAATATTATGACTAGTGTAAATTATTTGTTTACAAATTAAATAACTAATATTCTTATAATTTTCCAATGACCAGTGTTAGAAGATATTAATGTACAAAAATTTTTCTTGGCGCGTTATTATTTTTCAATGTTAGCCACTAGAAAATAATTGCTTCACTCATATATTAAGGCAAATTCAGGCATTTGTCAACGACTCTTATTTTTTAGTACATGGCACTAGAATTTAGTTTATTATTTTCCAGTGCATAGTTGCATTGGAAAATGGGTTCTTGGAAAAAGACAAAATTCTAGTAGTGGAGAGAAAAAAAAAGTTCTTTATTTGGCTATCAAAACAATCAGAAGGCAGGGGAAAGGAGGGGAAGGGAGGGAAAAAACTCCCTTTATTCTTTTTTTTTAATTTAGTTACTTATTCAAATAAGAAGAAGGAAGGGGAAGGGAATGGAAGGAAATGAGAGGATATAATTTTACTCCCGCCCCCCTTCCCTCCCCTCAACCTAAGCTTAGGGTTAGAGATAAAACATTAAAAAACCAACAATTAATTCAAAACAAATTTTTAATAAAATATTAAATATTTTATTTTATTTTAAATAAAAAATTTTAATTATTTTAAGACTAAGAAAAGGTTATGTCAAACAAAAATCAAAATAAAAAAAAATCAATAGGGGAATGCCATATGTCAAATTGGAGCCTAGCTATTAGTCTAACGTGTGCCACGTTAGCGGCCTTAAAGTTGATTTGGAGTGGGCCTATTGTAAAATTTGTAGCCTAGAAAGAGGTAAATGGTGGGGTAGTGCTACATGGTAAGGGATAAAGCATATCGCTTCTATTAATTGCGTTTGATTCAAATTAGGAAGTTGGAGGATTTTTAGGAGAAGATTATGTTAGGGTTTATTTGTGTTAGATAAGGAATCAAACTCCTAACCGCTAGACATGAGAAAAAAGCCATTGGACATGGAGCAACCACTACTCAATTATTGTGTGAAGAGGACCAAAATTCATTAAAGAAAAACCCCAACATTGAAGTAAAGGAAAACAAGGGAGAAAATTAGTTTCTTCAAGCCTACTCCTCTTGAAAATAGCCCAACATGCTGCAATTTTAGATTTTCAGATTTCATCAACTAGCCTACTGCACAAATTTATAGATGTTCAGATTAAAGTTCAAAGACTTGTTCTTATATATAGCTTTAGTTTGAATCTTTCCTTTTATTTGAAATTTTCTTCAAAGATTGCATCTTATTGTTGATATTTGAGACTTCAGAAACAAACAAGCCTTGTTCCTTGAGTTTGCTCCATCAATCTGGTTAGTAATTTTCAATGGATTCTACTCCTTTATGTGTCTATTTGATTGGGTTGAACGTTTGCTTCCTCCTCGCCTTCATTTGTGTTGAAATTCATCATCTTCGGACTATTTTCTTTTGTTTTTGAAGCGTGAATTAGTTTGCAATTTTCTAGATTTTAGATTAATTAGCAATTAGATTGTGTTGTAGTTTAATTTAGCATTAGATCTTCAAGCAAGTTAATTGATTTTAAGTTAATCTAGAAGTATTCTTAATTTTTGTAGTTTTTTTTAAGTTGAATTTTTAGAATTCATCATGGTCTATAGGATTTTAGGCATTGTTTGTAAGTTTGCCCAATCATCTGTTTGTGAATTTATCCTGATAGCTTGTTGTTTCCATATTTTTTTTAATGACTTATTTTAGAATATTGTGTTTAGGTAGGATTAGTAGCCTTTTTATACATCTTTGTGGTTTTAAAGTCCTTAGAGTTATCTAAAGTAAGTAGTAACCCATTTTGTAGAACACTATCCTTTGTTTTACAACATTATCTGAGGTGCAAAACAATTTACAAATAAATGTCTTTTTTAACTATCCTACTTGGAGGTCAACCGCTAGAAAGGAGGGAGTCATCAAAGAAATTCTATTTTCTCATTTTTAGACAAAATAAGTGGTACATCCTAAACTCAAACTCACGTAACAAGGGCCACCAATGATTTTTGAGAAAACAATATCATTAGACATATAATGAAATTAATGACCTATTGGTCCAAGTGAAAAAACTAGATTCTCCTTAAATAAGATTTTGAATTTGAGTCTTTTAAATGAAAAGACAAACTCTAAAAGAACTTTTCTCTTTGTGGGGTTCAACTTGACTCAATTTTGAATTAATTGAGATTTAATGTGACTTTCACGTATCAAATGGTGTAGGAAAAAAAAAAAGAAGAAAAAGATGGAATGATAAATCTTATGCAGCAAAATCATTTCTTTGGCAATTTATTTTCACAAGAGTACTTGGAGCACTGGGAATGACATAATATTATAATATCATTAATATTTACTAATAATAGCAATTGTTCAAGATTGCATTTTAATGATAGTATCTTTTAAAGATAACATGACCACATTTTTTTTCCCTCGGTAGTTTACTTCGACAAGAGTAATTTTCTATTTTGTAGATTTCGGGTGCATTTGGTATAGCGGTTTTTGGGTAGCGGTTAGCGATTTTACCTAAACCGCTAAATATAACTGTTTGGTAAATTTATATATTTCGAAACCGCTACAAATAAGATGTTTGGTAAAATTTTTATTTAGCGGTTTGAGACTAGCGGATAGCGGTTTGAGACTAGCGGATAGCGGTTTGAGACTAGCGGATAGCGGTTAAGGTCCAAATAGCTAGCGGATTAAAAAAGTTAGTTTATGTAGCTTTTTGTA